ACTGAGAATTTTCTGGTATCTATTACATCAGGGAAAGTGTGAAATTACATATGTTAATCATAAGATTTAGCCTGATCACAAGAAAAGGGGGATTTATAGAGAAAAAAATAAAACAGAAACATCAGTAATCTTTCAAACGACAAATGCCTCCTTGACACTTAATTTCTCTTCCGTCATTTCTACTATGAACATAAAACCGGTGTTTGTAAAAAAATTTAAGGGGATTTTTGTAAGTTACTGAGATTGAGAACATAATTGGAGTTTCCAGTAAGTAAGCTTAATCTCAGTGGCACCTTTTGTGATTATCACTTAAGCAATATGTAAATTCTGGCTAAATTTCATCTTGAACACACACACACACACACACACATACTCACACATACAGGAATGGTGGAAGGGAGGCAGACTGACCATAAGCTACATCGTGTTGAATGATATGGCGTATAGCATTAGAATCTTCAGAATATGGAATATAATACTTCTGTGCCCAATAATGAGGATGTGCCGGGACTTGAAAACGAGCGGATGCGCACCAAGGACGAGGTGAGGGCAAAATAGTCGACACAAAAGCTATAGCTCTGAGAAGCCGGCCGATACCCATGGTGAACATGTATCTCGCGGCCAGGCCTAAACCAGGAGCCTCAACCGAATTGAACAAAACTGAAAAACCGAGCATTATAAACAACATCAAGAAATGGTGCAATCCAATAATACGAGCCCTCAATATATCAACCACTATTTGGGGTAACTTCTCGTTTAGTGCCAATAGCAGCCACTGCCCAACGTCAGGAAGAGGCGGTGTACCACTGTCGAAAACGTACAAAAGCCCGTTATATACATTCAAAAGGGACTATAAACAAATGATATGGCAAATGAAAGATAGTACAGCATTAGAAAGCACGTTTTATAGTAACTTTGTTCTGAAACTTCACGGTTTAAAGAATGAGGGATAATGATTAAAGGGTTTATGAGATATATCTTCACTCGTGGTGAATGTATAATTATTTTATAATACACAACAATGAACCAGAGAGAGCAGATTAAAAGGGTCAATTTTAAGCTGATAGAGAAACTTTTAACTCCATCTGACATGTTTTAAGGGACAAAAATTATGCTCCAGTAAAATGTACACAAATTCCAACTAAGAAGCAGGCCCCCCTTTACCAGCAGTAGATTATTTCAAGAATTATAGTATAGGCCAAGATCAGATATGGAATATTTTGCAATGTTCACTAGCTAACTTTAACTACTTTCCTTGTATAAGCCATGTTTTCCTCAATCAGATCCATCTTAATTTATCCTCTGTTCAAGAAACACAACATCATAGTCTGGAAATTATAATTATCCTGCTAATGGCAACATTCAATCACACTGGTCCAAATCCCTTAAACACAAACAAGCAAAGGTTACTAAATCAGCAAGTACTTGACCTTCATAGGGCATATTGCAAACTAATAAATCACTGATGCAATCGGCAAAATCATTCTCAGATTACAACTAAATCTGAGCTAACATAACTCCTGCAAAACACATCTTTNAAACCCCAAAATCCCACAAATATAACACCTTCTTTTGTTTATGGTATACATACTTGTGCCAATCCAGACCGAGAACAGCCGTGACAGAGCGAACTGAAATCATTTCAAACAGAAGAGCGGACAGCATAAAAAGAATCGACAGGATGAAGGGAACGGCGGCGCGGAACTCCGTTGACCAGTGCTTGTAGAAGGGAACCCGAATCACGGCGGCGATGGCGAGCGCTGCCCAGAGGACCGGCTGCAGACGCTCGTGCCACGCCGGCGAGATGTGGCGGAGGTAGTCGATGCCGACGTACGCTATCGCGGAGATTCCTAGACCGGCCGAGTCTCCGCCGCCGTGGCGCCGCCGGGAGATCGACGGGGAGCGCATTTTGTGCTCTTGGAGAGTGTAGAGTGAGCAGTGTTTAGGTACAAAGAAGCAACCTCACAGTATTTCATATTTTCTACTCAATGAATTTATTTATGAAAAAACTATTTACTTTTTGTTTGATTAACCTCCTATCACTGTGGATCTAACTAACTTAACACTTTAATTTGTTCAATAAATTAGTGGAAACATTAAAGTTAAAGAATCAAGCTGAACGGAGCTGATAGCTCATTTAGTGAGACTTGGATACTAATAATTACTTGCTAAATTCAAGTATTAACTGCATCAAATTCCTTGAATGTATGTATGTATATTTTCTCCTTATTTTTGTTTATTAAAATTGTGCGTGACTCCTTTATAAATATGTTTTTGTAATCTTTTCTATTATAAATATAAATAGAGAGTGTCACAAGCTAAACTAAGTATAAGTTATGGTGTTTTATAATTTCATATGTCAATACAAAATTATACTTGTAAGAAACCGAGAAAAACGGGTACGGTTGTATTATATTTGTAAGAAACCGAGAAAAACGGATACGGTCTCACTCACGTGAAGCGCACTAAAAGTAAGAAAAGTTCAAATGAAGTCCAAGTGAGGTTCCATCCCAAAACCAATTGGTGGAAGGAGGAGTAACTCATTAGAGTTATAAGTTAGGCCTATTTTTTCTGTATAAACAATGTGGGACAACTCATAAGTGAATATTGTAATAATACTAACATAAATATCAACTTTTGTTGTTTTATAATTTCATTTACTATAAATTTATCAACTTTTGGTGCTTTATTATTTACATTGTCAATAATTGGAGTTTTGGAATAATCCATGCAGATTTGGAAATTTTTATTATCATTAACTTTTAAAAGGTGCAAGCACTTGGCTAAATTATAAATTACAACTGTTTTAATGGTTGATAATAATTTTAATATGTTATGAGCTTTTCAAATATGATATATCAAGTAAATCATATTTTGACGACTTCTTACTTGAAATGCACATTGTATGTATAAAATATAAAACTAGATATATGTAATTTATAAATAAAAAATAATGATATATCAATCGTACTTGAAATATAATTGATTTTATATTAAGGGAAATGCTCCTCTATCCACAATGGACACAAATTAATTTGTCCACCACTTATGTGGCATGTATAGGACATGTACACATCACCAAGCATGTACGCATCACCAAGCATTATTTTCTCCAACAAACTCATACATGCCACATAAGTGGTGGACAAATTAATTTGTGCCCACTGTGGGTAGAGAAGCATTTCTCTCTATATTCAATGATATAATATGATTTGAGTTAGAAAAATATATGATGAGTCAGGTGTATGGATATCATATGTCATTTTACACAAAATAGTAGTGTATTATTTTTTACAAAAGTATTTAATAATTCAAAGTAGATACTTATATATATATATATATAGGGATTAGTTCAAATAAAAACTAATTCTGGTGTAAGAACCGTGAGAACAGTATTTGATGCTACTTTTAATTATGTATGATACTATTTTTAATATTACATTGTCCTATTATTTTTCCAAATGCTAATATAAATTGTGCTGCTATTTTTTAACAAATACATCACGATTAAAAATAGCATTAAAACACAATCATCATAGGACTACGTACAACTAAAAATAGCGGTTCTCACGGTTCTCACACTAGCACTTGGTTCTCAGTTGAACCTCATCATATATATATATATTTACTTGTACATATTTTTTTTATCGTACTTTCATTTTCTAAGTAATTATTATATTATATTATATTTAAAGTTATTCTATTTTTGTACTTATTTATTGTACTATGGGATTACTATTAAATGTTATTTTTCAATTTATTTATTTATTTTGTTTGTATATATATTATTAATATTATTGTATTCACTACCCAAACAAAAGAGTTATTACACGCGGTGATTTGACATCTTTGATTGTATATATAAACTGAAATATAAATAGGTTTATGAAAAAAAAAGGCCACCTAATATTTTTTTTTTAATAGAATAAATTTATAAGTCAGTCAAATAATTTACAAGTTAATTTATAGTGCTTGCTCTTAAAATGAATTTTATGCAATATTTTTTTAATACAAACTAAATCGGATTTCACCATTTTCACTAGATTTTGACCAAGATCGACGTAATAAAACAATAGCTCCTCAAATCTATTATTATAGAATAGAAATAGAGATTTACTTTAAATAGAAAGTAAAATAAAGTCTAAAAATTTGAATTTTATTATAATTGGTAACTTTTTTGAAATTCTTTGAGAACGGGCGGCTGATTTGTAAATTGAATGTCAAATTCATTAAAACATTTAAATGAAAATATCCTAAGTAGATTATTTTGGATACATTTCATTTTATCTTAACTTACATATAATCACTTTCCTAACAAAATTTGCTTATATATTTTTAGATTAATTATATCAATAAATAATATTAATATACATTAAATATTTATCATTATATAAAAAATATTATATACATTAAATATTTATCATTATATAAAAAAGAATAATATTAATATAAGTATTATAAACAATAATAACATTATACGACAATAAATATTTTAATAAAATAAAATTTTATTATTAGATGAATTGAAATATGTAATATTATTATTTTTTCTGTATTAAAAAATAAATATATATGTTAAATATGATTTATATTAATATAAACAGGTCAACGAGTTAATATATTATTTAAATAAAATTTTAAAAAAATATTCTTATCACTACTCTAATATAAAGAAATTAAGAAAATAATCACAATTTCTTTTGACCTCATTTACTTAGGTGGATGGGATTGGACACATCAATCCCATTTACCTTTACACATAAACACAAAATCAAGTTTACAAAATCCCTATCAAGCATTTACTTGGGTGTAATAAAATTATCTGATGTGGATTAAAAGACTACTATACCCCTGTTGATATCCGACTCGATAACAGAAATTGAAGATGGAGATTAATCACATTATTGAAGAAATAATATCTCAAGATGAACTTACTGCAAGTCGGTATTTATTAGGGCTAATTACCGACTTCTATATAGTTACCGACTTCCGAAGGTTTTCAAAAGAACCGACATCTAAAGCCAATGCAAGTGAACCAACTTCAGTTCAACAAATATTACGACGAAATTAAGTTCCTCTATTTCAACCGACTACTACAAAGTCCGAATATTTCAACAGAAAGTAATCATTAGAAGCATCTGATTGGACCAGCAAAACAAAAAGGCAATCATTGATGTTTCCCACCGCTTCAAGTAAAGCAGCTCAACATTAAATGCATCCTTATCCATTTCGAGCAAGCGGACAAAAATTACCGTACTATAAATAGCAGAATTTATGATAGTACGAGGATCTTTTGGAACACATTGTACACGGACTTATGATGATCTCGGTTTTCAAACAAATAACCGACTCCTGTACTTGTGAATATAACAAATAAAATCAAATTGAACGTTAATCTTTATTTTCTTTACATCAGCTGTATTTAATTTTGAGTTGTTAATTCAAGACAACAACAACCCCTCATCTTCAATACCAAAGTTTTAGAATTTGTCGTCAGGCAGATCTTATTTTCGCACTATCCATTCCACAACAAATTGCACAGGACAGGAGGCGACGTGTACAAAGTTTTCTACCCATAGTTCCGCAGAAATCCGGCGGCGACGGTCACATAATAATGCTCATCGGGAGTCGGGTGTAAGTAGGAGGTCTACGACAAGTGACAGGTCGATTTTTGGAGCCCTAACATTCGTTCCTTAATTTGTCGAGCCCTAATCCGATTCAAACCCAACGTCAATTTTGGGCAAATGCACAGGGCGACGGCTAATCAAAAACAAAAAATCGACTTCCAATTAAAAAAAAAAAATCGAACCAACATTGAGAGGGGAAACAGAATTACAGAAACACAAATCCCGACTATGAAAAACTAGGGTTCTTGAAGAGGGCGACCATAAGGCATTCAACTATGTATTGTACATGTGTGCATTGTTGTTTGAGCTCCACACCCTCTGCACTTTCGAAACCAAGTCGACGAAGACGAGGGCTTATTGCAGATGCAGATGGATTTTAATATTTAAATGGTAAGGTATTGTCATTCTAATTAAATGGATGTTGAAGGGTATTTACGTCTTTTCCCAGCCAATTTTGAGGGTAAAACCGTCATGTACAGGACGAGATTAAAAAATCTCGAGGTCTGCTCCAGACAGAAATAATTGGTCAATGAATGATATGCTTGTGGGACCCGCAGACAAATGTACACTGCGTCAGTTCAATCTTGTCCCAATCCCAACCACCCCTTTCTCTACACAACATCCATGGAAATTTCCTTAGCCAGCATGGCCCGAGCCCGATTAATCGTGACGAGGCACAAATAAACATGCTCCTCAAGCTCTTCCACCCGCCTTCTCAGCCCGAATTCATCCTTTCTCATCTCCTTCAAAGCCCGCAAACACACTTTATCCTCCCTCCGATCCAAACACAGCCTTATCATCGCCTTGCCGTGCTCCACCTCGTCCCCGACCCGACCCGCGAGCCGGCTCATCGTTTCGAAATCCCGACTCAGTATGTACGCCCCCTTCGCCGCCGCGTCCAGGTGCCCGGCGGCCCTCCCAATGAACCGGAAATCGAATCGACCCGGCGGCCCGCCCCGAAACCCGTGGACCGCGGATCCCACGATGGAGACTCGCTTGAGGAGCCTCGCCAGTTTGAGCCTCCATGCCGCCCGACTCCGGCCGGATCTGAGGCGGCGCAGGACCGAAGAGTGCCTGCCCCGAAGGTGTTCGACGTATTGCCTGTTAAGATTAGGAAATGGGTTCTGCAGGTAGGCGCGGGAAAGGAGGTCTCCGGCGGCGGCGGAATCGATGATTCCGGCGGTGGACCTGCAGTCGGATTGGAGGTGGGCTAGGGTTTCGAGGAGGCGAGTGCAGAAATCGGAGGACTCGGCGCTGGTCTCGAAGTAATCGAGTAGGAGCGATTTTAGGCCGTTGGATGATGATGATGATGATGTGGTTGATTTTGAGAAAAGAGCAGATGAGTCGAGGATCGAGGCTATGGCTTCGCGGCTCGGTTGGAGAAGAACTTCCGAGAAGTCCGAATGGAAGTTTCCGGTTGGCGGTGATGGTTCGTTTACGAGCAATTGGAATTTCGTGAAGCAATGGGCAAAGGATTTTGTTCGGATGGCGCATAGGTATTCCTCGTTAACATTGAGGCTTCTTTGACATTGCATGGTTTTTTGGTTATCTGCAGCTAGAATTTGAAGTTCATGAGTTCAAGATAAGATAAGAGGGGAAAAAAAATCGTTGCAATAAATAGAAGCAACGTAGATATTACGTGAGACTGTTTTATAACTAGATAATCATTTTTCCTTAACAAGAAGTCAAGAACTATAATATGAAATGTTCTGTTTTCTAACTGAGTATGAAAATATGTGAAATTTGCTGAAAATGTACTATGGTTGGGCAGCCTAAGAAGTAAGAAGCCTAAGAGCATCACTAAAGAAGAAAATATGGTGTAACTTAAGAAAAAACAGAGAGAAATTGTAAATAAGAACTTTTGGAAAATAGATGTGAATGTAATTTTGGTTCAAAAACTAGGAACTTCATGGATCTCAAGGATTAAAGTGAGATAGATAATAAAAACACGAAACTTTTGATTTTTCTTATATATACACACACCTTTGCTGGTAAACTTAATTCTGAATCTAGCCCACATCCTGTTCGGATTTTTTGGAATTAAAAAGGCGCCACTTGACGAATTTGTAGAGAAATAAAGCTATTTCAAATTGCCCAGTTTATTTAGAGGGTTTTCTTCTCTATATAGCCTTGAGATAGAGGAAACATAAATTAATGAAAATAAGGGCTTTTTTTTTTTTTTTTTTGNGTTTTCTTACCAATCAACCGGAAACAAATAAGAAATGTAATCGTGCAAAGAATATTCAATTGTTCTTCCAAAGTTGTAATCTCTAGGGTGAGCGAGCAAAAGCTTGAGAGCCTGCAAGAGAATGGAAGCTTGAGGTGTATGTTGGTGTTATATGTTTAAGAAATATGTTCTAGTTTGGTTAGATCATGTATATATAGGAGTTGTTTAGTTGTTGTCTTCTAACGGATACTAATTGATAGTAGATTATATTAGCTGACTTGACTATCGAATTGCTAATTGATTGTATTAGTTGGTTTGACAAATGAATTAATTAGTCAAAATTGTTAAGCGAATGCGTGTTGAGAGAGAAAGATAGACTTGTCCGAGTTGTTTGCTAAGTTTGAGGCTAACACAATATAAGGATAAGGCTTACGAGAGAAATGGCAAGATTCATCTCATCTGTATTTGTATTTTGTCGTAGAGAATTGCGTGTGTTGCTTGTATTTCTATGTTACCTTACATGCACAAATTGCATGACTCCAATAAATATACCCGTGTGGACGTGTATTCAATAGTAACAATAATAATAAAATCTTGATTATTGTAGTACAATTACTGATAAGGTCGAATGAACCCAATTGACAGGGTAAAATACTAATTTATCACCATCCGAATTGTATAAATTTCGTTTATTATGCGCATTTTATTCTTTTTGTTGTACATCCTTTGTCTTCCTAATTTGAACTTGTAAATTAACGAGTAAAATAAGAGAGAGAGAGAGAGACTTGTAAATGAAAAAAAATATATATAGTACAATCTACATATTATTTATATTTTTTTCCGTACTTTTTTTGTTAGGCTGCTTAATTACTTGATTTTCATATACTTCCAATAAATATACTTACTTTCATGCTTAAATGTCATAATTCAAAATGTAAATAAACAACGATATGAAATTTTTATAGTATAAATTAATATGTATTTTATAAGAAATTATGATTAATTAACTGTTAGACAATTGACAACGACATGTGTATTAAGATTTTGTCTTTTTATAATGCATGAATCCAGTACATACATTATACAAGTGTAGTTTTATTTTATTTCCGTATTAAGCCGAGAAACCAAGTTTATTAGATGAATCTAGTAGACTAACATAGCTAAAATCATCTTAAACGAGAATTAGAAAATACATATATACCAATACTTTGGATGAATCTTTTGCTAAAAAAAAAAAAAGTTAACATCACATTGGTCAAAATTTTCACGACAGCAACAAAACATGATGAACATCGACACAAACAACTGAATTTTCCAGAAAAAGAAAACGAACTAAAACATTGTTATATAAGTGTGGGTGAACTCCACTTATTAAGGAGACACAAATAAATGTGGAGAAGAAAATAATAAATAAATAAAATAAAAGAACAAAAATATTTGGCCCATCAACATTAATTTGTCAATGGAAAAAAAAAACATTAATTTGCCTTCCCTTATTAATGAAATCTTCTACGTCATTTTATTTTCTTCATTCTTTGTGTCTAGATCTAAATGTATGGTAATCGTACTTTTTTTAATAGATATATGTATTTTTTAATTGAAATGTTATACTCCAAAAAATAATATATATATAAACACAAATATGGTATTTCATAGATTAAATATTCATTTTTATTAAAATAAATATGATGATCAACTTGTTCAGTGGTTAGATTGTCTCATGCAAAAATTTATATTTCTAAGTCATTTGGTGGAAACTCTACTGAACATTTGTGCCGCACAAACAAAAGGTAGGTATGAATTCCTTGTATCAAAGGATCTCTTATAGTAATGAAGCCAATAGGTTCTTTGCATAAATTAATATTTCAATTTTTTTTTTAAATTATCGCGAACAAGTGAAATCAAACTATGTTGTCACTTCAATCAATCATCTTATTTGCTCGATCGATTGGTTAAATTATTTTAAAATCCAACTCGAGCAATCGTTGGTTTACAATTTGAGCACTCTGCACAATCTGGTTATCTCGTTGCAAACTATAGACACCTAAATAACATGACTCAAATGGGCTATCGACTTAATCCATGGTGTCAGATAACTAACAATGTACGTCATTTATGAGGCCATATATAGGT